GTCAACAATTATGAATGGCGTAGTTAAGAGACGGCCTTCAAAAGATTAATTCCAGATATATGATTAACTTGCATCAGTTGTCGTCAGCTTGCAGGATCAACACAGTGAATCGTTTGATAACTAATTAATTTGACAGCACACGCGACGGTTGAACAATAAAGGTAGCGAGATACTGGTAGTTTATTGGCAAGAGAAATGCCGATCTATAAATTGAAAGATTTTTTTTTTGATTTTTAACAAACCTGTATTTATCATGAGATTGTTCAATAAAAATTACATGCTCTGCCAATCCGCTGTTGATGCACCAGTGATCTATGAAGCAGTCCAGTTTCTTCGTGATTTTATAGTACCAGTATTCACATTCTATTCTGTAGCGTAGCCTTTCCTTGAACATACAAGTGACATCTGTTTTCGCATCTCCATTCATCCTATTTCGTCTGGTCAGATAGATTGCCATTTTAGCAGATAAATTGAAAGAAGGGCTTAGGAGAAACCACCAAACCTAAATATATTTAGGAAGATCCTGGTTTAAAGTTTCGATTAATATTATTTTTTTCAATAGTGTGTTTGTTTTATGGCCACATGACCTATGACTGGTAAATTTGTAACAAGATTAAAATTGAAAATTGCGGCACCACTATGATGACAGTGATCCCGAAAGTCACGTTATCGTAGAAAAGAGGTCATGAAATTTGATCCTGTATTTCTAATTTTTCCCTTTGTTTTATTTATTTTTCCTGAACAAAAGATTCATATTTCCAATATTTTGCGATTTTATAAGTATGTAGTCCGTTTTTGCGCAATAACAGTGAAAAGTGTTGCATGATTCAGTCAAAATTAAAATACGATAATGAAGCTTACGTCTTATAGAGTCCATGTGTTCAAAACACAACTTAGTGCACGTGGCGGTGGCCGGAACGACGTCATTTTCAACCATTCACATCGATGTGCTCCGGAAACAGACACTGAGAAAACGAGACAATTGTGAATTCTCAGTTTGGGGGCGATTATTTCGATTATTTCATTTGTATAGCCTAACAACTTCAAAACAGTTATTTTGAACATCAACATTAAAACAGGACATCGGTCGCTGGTTTTTTACTACTACAATTCGATTTATTGAGAGTTTTCCATAATCATGACAAGTTTTTCAACTGTCCTCTTGATAACACATAGTGACGTAACTAATTATAAACCGCGATTATGCAAAGTGGGCGGTATTGTTGTTACATCGCAAACAAACCTTATCTTTCACTTGAGGTTGAGTTTTTATCATAACGGGGTATTTGTTTTTCGTCCGTTTTATTTGAGGTTCAGTTTACCTCAAGTCCCGGACTTCAATATGCCGCAAGTTTCATAAACATTAAACGGCAAAAGACAGCGCCAACGTTACGAGTCGTCGGCAAGTTTAACAGGGCGTTGCGCCCTGCTTTCTGAAATTAAAGTCCTGTCTAAATTGTCAGCGCCCTGTTGTATTTCCTGTGCGCCCTGGTCCTAGACAAAGAATTATTTTCAAAACAGGCCATCACTTGAAAATTCTGGCTTGTTATCGTAGCAGGTCACCGTGAGGTGATAACACTACCGAACAAAAAGTTGCAAGTTTTTGAACACGATTAAAAAAATAACATTTGGCCTAGAAAAGTGTAGTACCGTACCCATATTTTTACTAACAAGGTGATGTCAAATATATAAAATCGATATCGATAAAAACATTCGTCTAAACTTAAGGTCTAAACCTGTAGCGGCAACATCGTCACCGTCGAGCAGAACAAAGGCACGATCTGTAAACGACCAGCGCAGCCGACGTACCATCACGGACATTGCTGATCACTAAGAAGTCCACACGAATGCTTGCCTAAACACGTAAATGTTTTTATTTTGACGAATATCAATTAAATTTTTGTGATTTAAAAACCCCGGTAAAACAGTCACGCTTTCAACGCGCATTATAAGTGGAGGAAATAGATTCACTTGCTTTATTTTTTTGGAACAAATATTCTGATTAGTTGTTTTTCGCGTCAATGCGTGGTTTTATCCAATCAAATGCATCTTTAAATAGTATCAGGATTCACACAGTCAATGAACTGTTTCCTGGTCGTAGCTAGATCAGCTTAGAGGGGAACTTAATATAACCTAATTTGGTGTTTGTATTTATTAAGTTATGTACATTGATTATAAATTTGAAAAATAAATGATTATCTTCAGAGTTATGATGATTTAAAAATGAGAAACCATAAAACTGTGAAGGACTTCCGTCTGCGCCATCTTGCCATAAAAAACGCCCGCATGAGGTATAAACAAGAAAGGCAACAAAGCATGATGACGAAATACTATCTGATTGTGTATAAATAACTTAGGAAGCCATAGTTGGCTGGATTGATGAATTAACTTACAGCCTATAGGGAGCTTCGACTTTTACGTTAATGTTATTCACAAGCACATCAAAATGCAAATATTATGAATGTGCGAATGATAGAGACAGTAACTTTTTTTTTCTTTTTCTGTCCAACTGTCTAATAAATGATGTTTCCAGTACTGCTCCATGCGTGCAAATTATTTCAAAGTATGGATGCTCGAGTATGCAATCTTGAGTTCGTAGGGTGGTGGAGGAAAAATGTTCGCCCATGTATTCACGGAGCCGCACTCAGAGCAAATCAATATCAATGGGACAATTGTCATAGGAACACCAAGCAGATTGTCCACAGACTTCCGCGTAATTTGGAATAAAACTATCATCCGAACAAGGGGCATCGTCGACGTCAGATAGACTCTAGATAGAATCTTCGCTAAGTTCACAGTCTACCGTACTTCCCTGATCATAAGCCCAGAAACATGAACACGTAAAATCGGGAAAAGTAAGGGACGGGCTTATACTCAGGACCACCTCAGAAAAGATTTTGTTTTTGGGTTAAACATTGTAAACCATTTTGCCAACAACGAAAAATTATCCAAATTAAATCTTTCGTTCACCACGCCGGGCTCGGAAAAATAATACTTCTTTTTAAAGAAAAATGAGTCATGGATTTCCACGACACTTACAATGAAGAAACAAACATAAAAAAACACACAATTTACATACAGTTTGAATTTACGGTGAAATAATGGATAGGGTCTGTGGGGGAAACAGTCGAAGGCATTTATCATTATCTTCGTTTTTTTTTTTTTTTTATCTATTTTTTATTACTTTAAATAAATACATTTACAAAAAAAAAGAAAGAAAAAAAATTACAAAAAAAAGAAAAGTGGATGGCTTAAAAGAAGTGGAAGTGGGGG